CCGCCACATGTAAACACAACCAGTACACCAGACAATGCAACTTCACCACAAGTAAACACACCTGGTACACCAGAAAACACAACTTCACCACATGTAAACACAACTGGTACACCAGAAAACACTTCACCACACGTTAACACAACCAGTACACCAGAAAACACAACTCCTCCATACGGAAACACACCTGGTACGTCAGAAAACACACCTCCGCCACATGTAAGCACACCTGGTACACCAGACAATGCAACTTCGCCACACATAAACTCAACCGGTACACCAGAAAACTCACCTTCACCTCCTGCAAACTCAAGTCCTCCTCCTCCCATCTCAAGCTCAGTGCCTTCTGGAGTGACACCGGCAGCACCAGTTACAATACCTTCTACACCTGCTTCACCCAGACCAATAGTTGTTCTTCAGTTCAGTCTGAATCAAGATTTTAATGAGGACCTAAAAAATAAGACATCTGAAGCTTTTCAAAGCTTGGCAAAGAACATAACCACACAGGTAATTAACTAATTAAGTTAATGGGGATTTGAAACTTGTTGTTGTGAAAGATTAATCAAACAAAGCACAGTAAAATCATGGTAAAAGAACAGAGGAGCACAGAGACAAACAGTAGGGTAAAAATATGATACAAAGCACAAATCCTGAAATGACAGCGTCATAGTACAGCATCAGAATGGTAAAAAAGGGAAACTAGTATATTTTCAGAAAGCAGGAGACAAGAAACTGTAAAGAAAAGGAGTTTCAGAAGGGAGGCTTGCTCACTGTGAGAGAGTTAAATGTGATGCCAGGCAGATGAGAGATCAGATGTATGGCCCCAGGACAGGGGGCCTAGGACACCTTTGGAGACTGGTAGCGGAGATCCCAAGGTGCCCAGTGGGATCCAGGTGTGGTGACTGTCCAGACCCTGGAAGAGCTGTGTTACTTCAGCTTTTCAATACAGCCTGGAAGCCTCAATATGTCTTTCTGTCTCGTGTTTTGCAGCTGGACACTGTGTACAGGAATAAGTTTGGAGATGCCTTCAATCGTACAGAAATCACAGATTTCAGGTAAGGGATGTTAGGAAAATGGGACTCTGAATGTCAAGCTAATTTCCAGAGCACAGTAATCTCTTAGATGGGCAGCTAGATCTCTCTGAAGTTCTCACAAAATGCCTTTTTCTTCCCTGCATCAATTTCAGGAGCGGGTCAGTGATCGTCGATTCTACCTTGATCTTTAACAATCTGACAGTTGTTCCAAACACCAGTGAAGTCACCAACACTCTGAAGGCTGCAGCAAACACTTCTGGCTTTTCTCTCCCTGTCAACACCTCTACAATTGTGGCTTCAGGTAATAAAGACAGAACTAGCAGTTGTCTTCAGTGCTGGGAAGCACCTGCACAAACTAGAGTGACTGAGTGGGATTTTGGGTTCAATAGATATTCAGCTTTTGAATGTGAAACTGAAAACAAACTTATATTTACTCACTAAATAAGAATGTCATGTTCTATGCAATACATGAGCTGTCCCAACAGAAAAAGCATAACATTTTTATGCTCTTATGAGCACCCCAGAAAATATTAACCTTTAACCTGTACAGCTGAAACAGGGCATGTGGGTCACAGCTGTGTGGCAGTGAAAGTGGCTCATAGTCCCACCTTCAACCGCATGAGGGCGCCAAAGACCTTATTTCAGTCATGCTCTGTACTTAGTGACTGGGAAAATTCACAAGCAAATCCCAGTCAAAAGCACTGGTGTTTCTTATATCCAAGGGTATGAAATACAACAGCTGATGCCAACTTCACGGGCACACACAGAAGATCTCTAGGACTATGTCTTCAACACTTAAAAGCCTCGCTCTAGTCTTGTAGACATCACATTGACACAGAGCCGCTCAGTGTCGACAGATTCCCATCCCTGGCGTAGAGTGCCAGGGTGCCATAAGTCCAGAGGCAGATCGCTTCTGCAGTACCCCACCAAGATAAGCACAGGCTAACAACACATAATTAACAGTCCACACAAAAATGGTTACAAGCAAAGGCTCTGTGCTCCTCAATTTGCTGATCCACCTCTGAATTCACGGTTCCGTCAATGACGAGATGGCAAAGCAGCCCCAAACCATGTTTCTCCCTCCACCATGCTTGTCAGTCGGGATGAGGTTCTTCTGTTGGAAGGCACTGTTTGGTTTTCTCTACTAAACTAAACGCTTTTCAAAGAATAATGTCAAGTTTTTACTAGTCTGTCCAGAGAACATTCTTCCAGTAGACCGTTGGACTGCTCAAGTGCTCTGTTCATGAATTATCAGACACTTCCTCAGCATTATACAGTATCGACACTTGACACCCGAAGAGGGCTTCACAGCCGAAACATTGTGTTTCTTTTCGTCTCTTTTCAGCATAGCTAAAACCTATAAATTGTTTCTATTAGATAGTACTGTATCTACACTTTTTGCAAAACCCCAACACTTTGTGCACTTGCAGTACTGATGAAGTGATCTGTTCTTTACCAAACCCGTAAACATATTTCCAATCTATGATGTTTTCCTTAATTGCTAAGATTTTTTGTATCAGATATTATTATATAATAGGAACAAGTAAAAGGTTTATTCCATGCTGAAAAGAGAAGAAAGGAAACACCACTTTTCATCTGTGGAGCCTTCTTCGGGTGTGATTAAACATTGTGTTTCCTTTCTTTTTTTTTCAGCATGGAATAAACCTTTACTTGTTTAAGCACCCTACGCATGCTGACGCAGATACCCACATAAACTACTTATTATATAATAATTTATTTTCTACTAGATTACTCCAGTTTCACACTAAAAAATAGAACAAAAAACACAATTTCAGCTGTATACAGTAGCTTCTGTCAGTAAGAAATGTTTTGTGAAAACCTGCTGAGATTATTTCATCTCAATCTAGGATGTTTAATGCTACAATTTTTCTTATTAAATATTATATTTTTTTCTCACTACATCACAGTGATTATACCCTGAAAGATATAAAAAAACACTACATCTCAGCTATACAGCCTCTGTCACTGAGAAGTTATTTTTAATCCCCATTCAAATCCATTGAAAGTATTTTATGACATTTTTCTCAGACCTTTATCTTTAAAAATAAAATTTCACTCTTACAGCTGATACTTTAACAACTGCATCTCCTGTGAGCACAACTGCACCTCCTGCAATAACAACTGCACCTGTGAACCTAACTGCACCTCCTGCGAACTCAACTGCACCTCCTTTGAACACAACTGCACTTGTGAACCTAACTGCACTTGTGAACCTAACTGCACCTCCTGCGAACACAACTGCACATGTGAAC